ATTGCTGAAGTGGATGCTGCTGGTGCTGTGGTTGGTGCGGCTGTGGAGGTTGTGTTGGCTGTAGAGGATGCTGTTTCGGCTGCTGTTGCTGTTGTTGTTGCTGCTGCTGCTGCTGCTGACCAGACGAGGGTGGCGGTTGCGTCTGCTGAAGGGAGAGGTGGTGAGGTTGAAGGGCGGGATGCTGCGGGTGCTGGTGGGAAGATGGGTGACCGGGCAGGTGTTGTTGTTGTTGCTGCTGCTGCTGTTGCTGATGGGGAGGCTGGTGTGGATGTTGGTGCTGATGCTGATGTGGCTGCTGGTGTTGATGTTGATGCGAAGGCAGCAGGCTCTGTGCGTGGTGGAGGTGGCCAGAATGCGAGAGCTGTTGTTGTTGTTGCTGCTGCTGCTGCTGTTGTTGTTGTTGTTGTTGCTGTTGGGCTTGAGGCAAGGAGTCGCGGACAGCGGCTTGCGCCGCCATTGCAGCCATGACCGAGGCGCCGACGGAACCGGGCAACGGTCGTCCGGGACTGCCGGGCGGGCCGAACAGGTAAGGCGAGTGTTGCAGCTGATGGTGCTGTTGCGTTGCGTGATGGTGTTGATGCGGCTGCGGTTGGTGGAGATGAGAGGGCGCGTGTTGGCCGGCCACTGCGTGGTGCTGGCTGCCACTGGCAGGCGCAGAGCCGGCGGCGCCTGGCGCCGAGCTCGAGACGGGCCCCGAGCCGGAGCCGGAGATGGAGCCAGAGACGGAGCCGGAGGCCGAGCCAGAGCCGTTTGGCGAGAGCCGTTCGCCGGCGCCAGACGAATCGAGGTCGAGTCCCAGCGCGTGGCCATGTTCATGCGCATGGGCTTGTGCCTGCGCCTGTGCCTGTGCCTGCGCTTGTGCTTGTGCCTGTGCTTGTGCCTGTACGTGGGCGTGGTGGGCCTGCTCGCCGAGAGCTGCGGCGGCCAACGCGACGGCTGCAGCGCTGCTGAAGTCGCTGGGATGACCGCGCGGCAAGCCGTAAGCGGCCAGTCCGGCCGTCAGCGGCGTGGCCGACCGCGACGAAGCTGGCCCACCGGCCGCGCCGAGCGGCTGACCCGAAGACGGTGGTGACCCGGCGCCGCTGTCGCTGCCGCTGCTGCCGCCGCCGCCGCCGCCGCCGC